ATAGATGGCGCCACCGTACGGCGCTAGTGTTTCCTACCCCGTAAAACAGAGAAATTTTCATAAGCGAAAAAACCTAATTTAGCGAAGTGAATTGTGAACTTTGGCGATTGTATTACCCTAATTAGACCCTTAGCTTTCTTTTCATATCCTATTTGATCCATAAAATGCAGAAATAAGTATTTTTATAAATAATTAGTACCACTGAGTCACCGCTAGATGGCGCCACCTTGTTCAGTTTGTGACAGTTCACACTAATTACGAAAAAAACCTAATTATGAGGAATAATTTGCAAACTTTTTTATATGCCTCCTAAAAATTGGGCTCCTCGCTTTCTTTCTATGTGTGGTTTGTCCTAGAAAAACGTGTGTGTAAAAAGTTGAATTTTTTTTTCAATAGATCGAAAGATGTCCTTGTCGCACACTCTTGCTTTCCTTGTCTAGCGTTATTAGACAAGGAGAGCACTAGCGTGCGACAAGGACAGAAATATAGGCGCGGTAGACAAGGAGAGCAACAGCGTGCGACAAGGACAGACATTTACCCGCGATAGACAAAGAGAGCAACAACGTGCGACAAGGACAGTCATATACGCGCGATAGACAAGGAAAGCAACAGCGTGCGACAAGGACAGACATATACGGTAGACAAGGAGGGCAATAGCGTGTAACGAGGACAGATGTAAATATAGAGCGATGGTGTGCGATAAGGATAGCAATATAAATTAGTTTCGTCGTTGCGGGACTAGTATTTCAGTGGCTTTAGCGTTTTATTTATATTAAATTATTGTTCCAATAGCAGAGATTGTTTATTCTTTATTTTTAAGAAAAGTAATTTCTGCAGAAAAATGTATTTATTTTCGGAGAGTTTCAATTTTATCTTTTTCTCTCTTAATTAATATAGTTCTGTATTTCAGTTTCTTAATAGGTTAGAAAAAGTAAGTGCTATTAAATTATTAAATGTAAGACTTTCAATTAATAATTGAAAGAAATATGGATAAATCTCAAATCGACGAAAATAATTTATTCTCTAGAATCCAGTATGCATTTCCTATTTTATATGACGAGGTTTGTTTATATTTTATAAATTCCTGGATAATATACTAGTAGTTAGAATGTTTTACTAAATATTTATAGTATGATACATAATCAGATACGTATAATATATTTAAAATAAATTAATATTTGTTTTAGATTCAAAATGAATGTACAGATGAAGAATTCACTAATGTAATTAAAGTAATAAAGAAATTGGATTTAGTAAAATTTATTGAACATTTAGTTATTCATCAAATACAGGTGTACATTAGACAAAATGTAGCACCTACATTTTGGGAACAATTTACGAATGATGTGAATGAACAGCAAGGGTTTAAACATTTTAAAACTGCAGTAGATGGATTATATACAAGTTTAACAGAATTTTTACCATTATTAAAAAGGTTAGAATACCTAATACAAGAAGAAACGACTCAATCAACAGATGTAAATAATGTCCTAAGTCAATTTAAATTAATTGTACGATCTACACTATTGAGTCAATTACCACTTCATTATGAACATATTGTAGAACAATTTTATAAAATTGCATTTAATGTATTTTGTAGTGCAGATAGTTCTGCACAAGGTACATAATATAATATTTTGCTTCTTGATATCATTTTAATTACAACCACTTAATTACATCAAATTAAATATCTTATATTTTTATTAAAACTGTTTACTTTACAGTATCTACTGGAAGTGATTCTGTTCAATGCATGGGTTGTCATCAAGAAGTAGAAAAATGTCAATGTCAAATGATTGTATTTATGTTCCATGAAACAAATAGAAAATTAATTGAATTAGAACTATTAGAAAGATTAGTTGGTAATGTTCTTACATCTTTAATACACATACGTATTAAAAATCATGTTAGTCAGTCATGTGATAAAACATTTGATGTATCACAGTTAAAATCATTAGAAAATGTAAGATTTTGTCTTACATACTCCATTTAAATTATACTTACCTGACTCTTTTGTAATATGCAATAAATAATATAATCATATTTTATTTCACAGTGGCTTGAAACAGTTGTTATGAGTTGGTTAATAAGAATATATTCTGGTGGATTTTCAAAGATTGTATCCTTAACTGATCAAACTCGTAATGCTATAGACAAATTTAAGCAAAAATTATCTCATTTTTTATATGAGACATATACAAGATTTAGAATTGAACAACTCTTTGACATTATAATAGGTTGTTAAAATGTAGTTCATATATCTTATTATAATTATATATATATGTTACTTATAATTCTTTTGTTTAGAGTACCCTGATTCTCAACCCGCCATAGATGATTTGCGCATTTGTTTAGAACGAACGGATTTGCGTAAAGTGTTAATAGAAAGTCTACAAGAAGCATTAAAGACAAGATTACTGCATCCAGGTGTAAATACACCAGACATAATAACAGCTTACATTGCAGCTATAAGGGCATTAAGACAGTTAGATCCTACAGGTGTTCTCCTTGAGACAATAACAGAACCTATTAAGTAATTATTATATTAATATCAACTATTATTAAAATATATTGAGATAATTTGTTAAATTATTAATGAATTTTTTCACAATTTGTTTAGAGTTTACTTAAGAACAAGAGAAGATACTGTGCGTTGTGTGGTGAGTGATTTGCTTGATGATTCACCAAGTGACCTAGCAGATGAATTAGTCAAGGGTGAATCTTTACAATTAGATGATGGTTCTGGTGATGAAGAAAATGAAGATTGGGACAAATGGATGCCAGATCCCGTTGATGCTGATCCTGGTATGTTTATAATAATCTAAGATGTATACAATAAATTAAACAAAAGTACACATTTGGATTTACTAAAATAGATTTTAATATCTTTTCTATAGCAAAATCAGCACAACGCAGAATGTCAGATATAATATCAATGTTAGTAAATGTATATGGGAGTCAAGATCTATTTGTAAATGAGTATCGCACATTATTAGCAGACAGACTATTGTCTCAATTAAATTACCATACTGAACGAGAAATCCGCCATTTAGAATTATTAAAAAGGCGTTTTGGAGAAAATCAACTTCATTACTGTGAAGTTATGTTAAAAGATGTTTATGATTCTAAAAGAATAGATGGACATATACAATCTGATGCTAGTTACACTTTAGAAAAGGAACACTTTCCTACGTCTGCGTTAATATTATCAGCACAGTTTTGGCCACCATTTAAAGAAAACTGGAAATTGGAGTTACCTAAAATTGTGCAAAATCAATTAAATAAATATGTAAAAGCATTTGAAACTTTAAAAGGAAATAGAACACTTTGTTGGAAACCTCATCTTGGAAATGTTACTTTAGAGATCGAATTAAAAGATAGAAAATTAGATATAAATGTAACACCAATTCATGCTACAATAATCTTACATTTTCAAGACAAAAGTAAGAAATGTTTATATATACTGAAATGTTATAATATTTTGTAAATATACGTAAAGTATATTTTGCATTTAAACATTAATATATATCGTATTTCTGAATTTGCAGAAGAATGGGCTCTAGAAGAACTTGCAGAAGTAATGCATGCTCCTGCAACTGTATTAAGAAGAAAAATAACTTTTTGGGTTTCGCAGGGTCTCTTGAAAGAAATTTCTAATGATGTCTTTATCTTACAAGAAGAAAGTTCGACGAAAAATAGATCTTTATCAGATATTGTTTTGGAAGAAGAAGTAGAAAGTGCAATGGCGTCCGCAAGTGATCAAAGGGAAGAAGAACTTCAAGTATTTTGGTCTTATATTGTTGGCATGTTAACCAATTTAGATTCTATGCCTTTGGAAAGAATTCATCAAATGTTAAAAATGTTTGCGTCTCAAGGTCCAGGAGCAATGGAATGTGGCTTACCTGAATTGAGACAATTTCTTGATAGAAAAGTTAGAGAACATCAACTATTATTTTCAGGTGGCTTATATCGTTTACCAAAATCATAAAATTATAATTATGTATTATATATTATGTAATATATGATAAACAGATCAATATTTAAAAAACTTATTTCATATAATAAAATCAAGAATTACATTATATATATATGTGCATATAATATTATACCCAAAGCTTAAACATTCTGATCAAATTTTAATATATACGAAAAAAATGTAAATTACATTACAATTATATAAAAGATATAGCTGCAACAACATATTTTTGTAATGCATTTATAAATAAAATGCTCAATAAATTTAATACTAGTAGAGTTGCGTGCATATCAATTATAAATATTTATAAAATTTATATTGTATAATATTATAAAGTATCATACATAATTTAATTGTATATTATATTTTAATTTATAAAATTCAATAATTTTACATATCATTTGCATTTAAACAAATTTTTAAATCTTTATTTCTTTTGTACTTAGGAATATTAACTATTATATCATAATACTATATAAATATTATACATATATAGTAATTTTTTCTTACCCTTTTCTGATATGTATGGAAAAATTGAAATGAATAATTAAATATTTAATAAACGAATCTTTTGAATAGTTTGAAAATAAAATTATTTTATATTTTGACCTGTACTTACTACATATTTCATATTGTTGATATAAATATCAACATTAAAATAAAATATAAAACAAATAATTTTAATAAATTTTGACAAGAATTAAGCAATTATTGTGATAAATGTAAACAGTAAATACAAATATATGTATTAACAAAACTGTATACATACATATATAAATCTATGTATATGCATATAAAGGTACATATACATGCTATTTGAATAAGTATTATGATTACAAATAATGTTTACTTCTTAATTTTATTATCATATATTTGTAAATGATCTAATCTGATTTAAATAATTTGGATGAAAGTAGTTTTATTATGATTAATAATAGTTTATATATATATTATATACTGTTATTAATCATAAAACATTATAGAAGTAAACAAATATTAACTAGTTTTTGCCATGATTGATTATTAATAATACTTAGACCAAAAAAAAATTTGTGTTAGTATTATTAACATGAATACAAATTATATTTTATACATAACATTTTAAAGCTACAGTTCTCTACAAATACAATGAGAAAATGTATTGTTAATTTTTTGATTGTGATATAACATTAATGATTATTATACATTTATTTCAAAAATAAATGTCTCGTATAAGAGGACAATATATATATTATAATATTATCTTTTAATTATGTTTTATAACATGTGTATGTACCTGCAAATGTATAAGACTTAAAAAATATGTAAGTTCATCTACATATAAACAATCAATGAATACACATTATAATTTGTTTAACAGTACAAGAGAAAGTTAAAAAATGGAGATAATTTTGCCAAATTTATAATACATATCAAATATCTTGTTCAGTATCACATATAAGTATTTTATGATATGTATGGTAATAACATATTCTTGTACATAAGCTTTTAAAACTTTTTACTTTTTAAGAAAATATATAATTTTTACTTCAGATTGATAGAAGTTACTATATATTGATTAATGATTGTAAACTATTTTAATTTTTGAAATTTATAACACTTTTACTCTTTATAATGTAGTTCTCAATCTTTCATTGTTAAAAAAATAATCTGATAAATAATTTTTACTTTTATATTCAAAAGAGTAATCAATATTCAATATACTTTACTGAACATTAAAGTATTATATAAAAGATATTTGAAAGAATAAGTTATATATTTTTTAGTAATTTTCAAAATTGAAATATTTATTACATGAATATACATACATAATGTGTTCATACTATGAATCACTGTATGTATTAATAATATCATTATTGCACTAAATATATGGCAGAAGTTTCATCAATTTTTAACTTTCCCTCTTCTTATATATTTTTATAAAATATCTATGCTTTTTTTTGAATCATTATTTTGAGTTACATATTGTATTAAAATATAGTGGATATACTACTGTAAGCTATAAACTTAAGTAGAATTCAGATCACTCTTAGTACAATTAGATCATGAAATATAATCTATTTACACAAAGTAATAATTATCTGTCCTTAATCGAAAATGTGAGAAATACTTGTTTAAAGTACAAGCATGTTATACAGATCATCAAATATACACAAATGAACATGATAGAAAACTCCTACTATTACATGTACATATGGCAAATCTAAAGAATCAACAGAATATCGTTTGTATATCTAAATGATATATTGACTGGTAAATAAATCAATCTCACATATAAACACTCTCATCTATATAGATAACTTCATTGTATAACATTATAAATGTAGATATATTGCAAATAACAATGAAAGTAATAAATAACTTTCATGTTGTTCTTTGTCTTAATTAAATTGCTCACCATTTGTAGGAATATTGTTTTTTCAAACAATCTTCCCTAATCTACATTTATAAAAAAAAGAAAAATAAATGTTTATGTGAATTTATCTAGATATATGCAAAATTGAAAATATTCATAAATGATTGAAATCTATTATTTTACAATTGCACCGTAATATAGTATAACAGAATTTTCAAATCATAAAATAATAAAGTATTATATATATATATATCTTTGTTAAAAAATGGAGATTCTTCCTAGCCACACAACAAACTAATATATTTTAAAGAGACATTTTATATTCTTAATACCTAATTAATATATCCAAAATATTTTGATTTTCTTAGTGTTGATCAAGTTAATTAGAGTTAACAAGTTAATAAGAGTTGTAAATTCAAAAAATCAGATAGAAAGTATTTAGTAATATTTTACTTATGATTAAATTTGACATGTAAAATTTTTATTTTTATGTTATGTTATGATTCACTATGTATTAATATTACAATTATTTAACATGCTATTATTGGTATAAAACCATATCTCTGTAAATAGCTGTCTCATTTAACTTTACAATAGAAATATTTCGAAATTTTTGTTTTCAAATTGTTTTCTTCTTTTTGAAGTAAATGATTCAATTTCACTCAAAATGAAAACAAATTTTGATTTTATATTGCACTTATTACTCGTGGATATATTATTATCTAAAATATATAACATTATTTAAATTTTTAGCCCCTTTTTTTCTCCCTATTCATTTTATTGATTTAATACGGATGTAAGTACTGAAAAATTGATATAATTATTATGCAGAAAACTTCATTTTATAATCTGCGATAATCTGTTCTAAATAGAAAAATGTATATCACTTAAAATAAATTTTTAATATACAGGTCATCTGTGATATAACAGGTAGATTAAGAGGTGTGATATAACAGAAAAATGAGATTCTCGTATTACGTATAAATAAATTTGAAAAATAATTTCCAAAAAATTGTAAGTATTTTCTACCTATAGTTACATACACATAGATGTAATGTTAGGTATGTAATGAAATAATTGCTTTTACTGGATTGGATCATGAAGTTATCAATGTTATATGTATCTTATTCGATTATAAATGTATTAAATGTTATCATGAATATAACATACATATATTGGTGAAAATTTAATATTTCGCTAATATTAATTAAAGTAATATTTAGTCAAGTATCCTTAAAGTATTATCCAGATGGAAGTACTATATGTATATATAGTAGAATCAAAAGTTATAATTCTTAAAACAAAAGTTATAATTCTTAAAAAAAAATTAGTAATTCTGTTTCTTGTATGAATGTTTCATGATATATATTATCAAAAATTCGAATTTCAATAATCATACATACATGTAGCAGAAGTATGTACAAGTACTGATGTTACTTATAACAGAATGATTTTTAGGAATACTGAATTTAAATTAAATCAAGAAAGAAAGAGCAATAAAAAAATGGAACGATATCCAAAAAAAATAATAAAAACTAATATTGTTTCATATTAGGCATGTCAGAAGTTGATCATAGTATTACACGCTTTGGGAATTTTTTTATATTGAATGAACAATATAATTCATAAATCATGCATATACATGCAATCTTTTGATAGATCATTCAGTGAATAATAATTGTAAATGAAGACTTGAAATCATTTTCTTAAAAATCCATTATTTTCTAGTTATATCACGCCTTATGAAACATTTTGTAAGGAGAAGTTTATTTGAAATTTAGTAACTTAAAATAAATAAGTTAGTAGTTCAACGTGAGAAAACGAACTGTTTCACCATTATGTCAAGACTACCCGACGTTTAAGCAAACTGACAGAAGATAATAATATTCTGATAATAGATATTACAGATAAGAGTAAGTTCCGTATTTAGTAAAGTAGTTACAAGTTGAAAAACAAGAAAATTAATAATAAAGTATGGTATCGTGTTAATTTTCTAACGGCAATTCATTCAAATCACGACGCAATAGAATTGAAAGAACAATTTCAATTTGTTACGTCGAAACGGAAAATATCGTAAAATTACTGTACGTCCTCGTTGGAGAAATTAAGATGTATTTAATCATGACTATTCCGGCAATATACTATTAAATTGTTTTTTGCTGAAGCAAAATCCCTTCTTGCCCGGTAAGTAACTAACAATCAGAGGCTTAATTACCTGTCTAACGTTGGAAACGTCAGTAAAAGTGAACGCTAACGGAACGAGGAAAGCAATTTAAACAAGGCTATACAATTTAAAGATACGAAGAGGATACAGGATGGATAAACTTGACGAACAACAGGGCTGGTGATGCGAACGGCGAAGGTGGTCATCTGGTTGGTGAACCGATCGAACGCGGATGTTGTTCCAGAGTCCAGGTGTTAGCACGGGGCGAGTGGATTCCATTGTTAGCACTCCAAGCCTATAGGCCATGGGCAACCAAGGTTAAAAAGAAAGAAAAGAAAAACAGTTTGTTAGTAATTTAATTATGATCGATTCATGTTAACATTAAGTTTTTGAACAGTTCGATAGTTGAAAGAAATGTAGTTAGTGGGAAGCGTTGCCCTTCTTTAGACACTCTCTCATTTTAGATTATACGATCAAAAAAAGTAATTTGTTTGCACGATCACCTGACAAGACATTTGTTTCTTTTAATTTAAGGAATATATAAAAATTAAAAGAATTAAAAAAAAACAATATAATAAGTAATTGACAATTAAAAGAAACCATGTTACAAAACGAATAACAATTAACAAGCAACTGCTTCGCACTACCTTGTGGTCAATATTAGTACATAAGCCTTTATTTCATATAAAACGTGATACGTGATAGAAATATTGTCAGAATATTATATATCGACAAAATGAAGCTTATACTTCGTTACTTGTCTTAAATGTTTACAATTGAGCCCTCTAATTATCGAACGTTCATAAACTTTATTTTATGCTTTAAACTTTATAAATGTATATATTATAATTTGGACTTTAATAACTTATGAAAGCTTTGTTATTATTGTTACAATGTACATGATTTGAACAGATATAGTATATTTGTAAAATATCAGAAGATGGCTTTAAAAAAAAACAACTTCGATCGATTATTAGAGGGTTAAACTATGTATTTTGGTTATAAGTTTCACATAATTATGTGCCCTCCCCGCGCTTAGGATAGTCGAGAAGATAAATATGTAAAATTGTGTACAAAATTCTAAAACGAATCAATTCAAAGACATAAACAAGTGTAAAAAAAAGCAGACTTAGAATAGTAGATGATAAGATGATTTTTAGTTATTTAAAAAATGCGAGGAATTCGTTATTTCCCAAAAAAATTGTATCATTTTACAATAGGCAGCTTGGGTGTGCACCTGCCACCATATAGTAGCGTTAAATAAATGATATTGTACGTGTGTATGACATTAAATACATAGTTACAGCAATATTATTACTGTGAATCGTATTAACTTGAACGATTAATAAACCTATCATCAAGCAGGTGTCGAAAAAAGGCCAATGAATTACACGCGTGCCGTACAATGAGTAGATCTATTTTACAATCTCTGAAAAAAAAGCATACCTTTGCATATAGTGTTAAGATTTGTATACATTGTATAAATACGTAGCGTTAATTGTCTAGCAAAACATGTAGAAAGGAAAACCTATAAAGTATATCCAATATTGCATATAATAGTCTCTATTTTTTAATAACTAAACACTTGTTACTTTCGAAATAGACACTTTCCAATTTTTTGTAATTTAAATCATATTTATTACACTTTAGTATTATAGGTAGATTGCTTTTTGTTTTTAAATAAAAAAATATCTTTATATTGCAAACATTGATTATTTTTTAACCACAATGTTCCAAACCTTTTTTCTTGTTTCTTTGCTCTGATTTTTATTTTGCTAAATTTTCTTCTCAATATTCTCGCCTCTTTCTTTCATTCTTTAATATATTCCCCATCATTCTACAATAATTAACACTTGCAACGAATACGCAATAAGCATGTTACACTATTATTTAAATATGAAAGAAAATTGGATATGTTATATTATATTCATAGTTCGTTAAAAAAATGGATATCTTAAAAGTGTTTTCATCCAAATCATTACTTTAATATCATCTAGGCATGAAAAGATATATGTGAATAGAAACATCAAGTTAGTGTCAACTTGGCCGTGTGGAGCATTTTTTGTTAGTTTTATAAAAACAATGCATAAGTTATATACGTTTCGTGTAAAAAAAAAAAATGAAATCGCTTCTATATAATAAAGGTGCTATTATAAATTATGCGTAGTATTTGTTAGTGGTGATACATAAAAAAGGATAGGATGCATTTTCAGGATTAAAATATCAAATATTTCATATCTACGTGATAAAGTTTGGTAAAAATTGTTACGAAAAAAATTTGTTTACAACGTGTCGAAAAAAGATTCGAAATCTTTAGCTAAAATTAGTTGATTAAGTTTTACCCGTGACATTAAACAAAGTTGCGATTAAATTAATACGATATGTACAGGCAAATTTTGGGTACATATACTATTAAATTTGCAGATTTTCGTGCGAGAGAAATGACATCCTGGATTCAAATGGAACGAAAACATCCGATCTTGAAAAATAATACGATGAAGTACAGTACTATTAAAATTGAGTTGTACTCCTTTATAGTTTAAGCCTTCGCATCGTATCGTAGTACCACCCCTGTCATTTTCATTCGAGATAAAGACAAACTACTTTTCTTTTTTATATTTTATGTAAATATTTATTTTAAATAAGCGTATATATACATATATATGATACACACGCGTAGACACGTATATACACGTACAAAAAGGCAAACGTAAAATGGAATGAATAAGTGTTCCACAGGCACAAGTTGCCAAAAAATTTATCAATTCGGCTGTATAATCGTTTAAGTGTGTCTCATTTAAGTCAGATATTTAAATTATTTCCAGTGCTGTTGAAAGAAGAAAAAAATTGAGCGGCGTAATAAAGTTTTATGATACACATCTAATGAAGATTAAAAGTATATCCCAAGATTATCTTGAATTTCAAGGTCATTATTTTTTGTACATTAATACAAGTTTTTAATTATGTGATCTTTTAGTCTTGAAAATCATACATACTGCTATCAATTAGTCTTTTCTCCAATAGCATTGAAAATAATTTAAACGTTCGATTTAAATAAGACATCCTGTATATGAACAAAAATTACATATTATATTGTTGATAGATATAAATATTATTAGTCATTTATTATTAATCATTTGTAGTAGTATTATATTCAAAACTGCATTTTGCATTTATATTTATCCTTCTTAAAATTTATGCTTTATTTTTCATTTTTCGTTTTTATGTTTAGTCTTGTCTATGGTCTATATAGATTGTTCTTCAATAAGAATATTTCAATTTAACGCTAATATAAGAATGTGTAAAAGTAAGAAAAAAAAAAAAAAGAAAAAAGAATGGGTAGGTGCGCACCCATACCGTATCGCAGTTTCCCGATCATTTATGTTCTTAATGGTGTAAAGAAGAAAGGAGTAATGTAAGCTTTTTAAAGACACTTAGCCTTTACATCTAATTGCGGGGAGTTAACATTACCTTGAAACTTTAACTTTTATTTCAATTAAGTATATGTAAAGTTAAGTATATCTAAAGAACCTTTAATAGTATACAAAATTACTAAATTTATCCACCTCTATAATAATACTGAATTCTAATTAATAACAAATATTATTATTTAGTACTGTTTATTATTAATAGATAATAAATAATATATTAACTGGCTATCACTAAAATTTTGTATCTCTAAACTTGCAGTAAGTTTAAAATTATTTTTGCACTTTATGCAAAACTCAGACAGATTTATTTTAATATTATATATTTGAAAAAATTCTTCTATATAAAAGATCCAATAAACGTAATATATTTATGTAATATTCTTTGATTTATTGATTGAGTATAAGCTAATGCAGTAATATACACATTTTTTGAAAGGACACTATAATTGTGATGTTACTTTCTTATATATCATGTTATGTAACACAGAAAGTAAAACTCATCAATATCTGACTATAATTTATTAATCATAATTCGAATTTTTATAAAGAACAAAATACTAAAAAAAAAAATAACAGATATTTCTAGTGCAATAATTTGAATAAATATCTGTATCAATTATTTTCAATTGACCTGTTTACTAATAACTACTAATAAATACACGAGCCATTGAGTATTTTAAAGTTCGTAATATAAATAATGTAAAAAAATTAATAAATTGATCTACTTTCAAGTATAGAGAAAAGATGCTGTAGAACAAAGGATTTAATTTTAATGATTTTTCTTGAACTTTGAAATTTTCTCAAAAAACCTTGACAAAACAATTGAAATGTTAATTTCATATTCATATTCTTCATATGTAGAATATATTCTAACATTTAGAGAAGTCATTGTTTCTACTAACTAATATTTACTTTAATTTATAAATGTATAAGAAGTGCATAAAATTTTAAGCACGCATTTACGATACAATCGTTTATTTTTCTCAACTTCAAGCAAATATACATTTAATTCCATTTCTGTAGTAAATATGTTAAAATGAATAAAAACCAAATAAAAATTTAATCGATGAATTTCATACGAATCTTCTATTGCCTAGTTTGGTTTAATAAAATAATAATTAGTAACAAAGTTCAAAAGAAATCAATCGATTCTATAAGAAATTTCTGCAAGTAGCATATATCAAAAATAAATACAAAATGCAAATAACATCTATATATCCATATCTCTTTACAAAAATATCTCATTTATTTATAATTTATACAGTGAGAGTCAAAAATGAATATATATTATATTATACAAAAACAAGATTCATATAATATATCTATAGTTTACTAAGACTGAAGTAGTCTTCATAGATAATATATATTTATGATTTTCAAATACAAGTGGAGACACATCTTGCAAGTATCATTAAACATAACAGTGATAATATTTCGGAGTAGCATAGCAGCAGAGTTGGAGAATTATTAAAAATATTAATTTTTATTAATATTACTATGAACAGAATATTTAAAGATTTAAAAATCGAATTTAGCTGCAAGTATGACAAAAGTTCAATTATCAGAATCTTTAAGATTCAAAGCATACCACGAAAATGATTAAAGATTGGTTGCTACAAAATACTCCAAATCAATCAATTCTTCATTACAATTTCCAGATCATTTTTAATAAAGAACATTGGACAAATTTCATGTACATTCAAGATGCATATTCACTTTTAATAATCATTGTGGATATATTGATATGGATACGTGGATATTATTTAAAAAAAAAAAAAAAAAAAAGAAAGTGTAGGGATAATATACAAAAGATGGAACGTTTCTCAGAAACTAACCTTTTCTCGGAGGCGCGTATAGTATTGCGAGTGCGCTCTCCGGATTCACGACAAAGCACCAGCCCTTTGATAAGGGTGTTCGCGAATCTGACCCAAGTGTCTACGTTGTTTCGCAGCGGCTGCTGCACCTGTCCCCAACATACAAACGTGTATAATTCATCTCCTTCCACATGTATTTATCATTATCCAGTCCTTGGCAGATCACTTAACTGCCGCTATAAACAATAATAGCAAATTAAAATTATCCACAACGTCACGATTAAAACGCAAACCAATACCCTTCTGTTATAGATATTTTCGTTCTTCAATTCTAGCTTTTACGATATCTTTACTTACGTCTTATCTTACGTACACTACTGTTCATAACTTACCGAACATTTACTCGTTAATAGAATTCTTTTGCGTTATTTTGTTGTTTAATTTTATTGATTATATTAAATTAATATAATATATTATTGTATTATATTTATTAAGTTTATTTTTATGTTATATTTTATTATATTATTAGTTAGACTTAATAAATTTTCTCAAAAATGAAATGTCAAAATTTTATTTTTTTTTTCGACTCATTTTATGTATGTAGAATCACCTTTTACACTCAAGTGTACCACTCTGTATGGCTTATATTAACAGTATCTTAACGTGAAATTAATATATATACATATGTAGTTTAAATAAATTTTTTCGACTGCCTGAGTTTAAATTGCAACCATATCTTAATTTTAAAAAATGTTCGATGATTTATGAATGGCAGTGTATCTTATTATACACACGCTGATAAACACAATGCGCATACTATATGGATCTCGATTTTCTTCTGTTTTCTATTAGTTTGCGTTCAATCTTTAAACTTGAAACAAAAAAGTTATATATGTGATTTTCGCTGAAAGGAAATAACATTTAAGCATATGAACCTTCCACAAGCTAAACTGATCAGCCCTATTTTTTTGTAAAGTTTTCAATTTTGTTTACATAATTACAAGCTTAATTAATTTTCTACTCTAACAAAAAATTGTAAAAAATTTAATAAATAAAAACTTCTACGGATTCATTTGTTATTTTAAACAATATAAATGATAGCAAATTCATAATGCTCGGTACATTATAATCTTTTTCTGCTTTTTAATTTGTGATTAACTTCTGATCAGTATGACTTCTGAATGACTCATATATGTATATGTGTTATTATTCATTATTTCGAATTTTTTTTTACAATATCTTACTATGTATATACGTTTACAATATTGTCAATCTAAAACACCAGCTTTCTTCACAAAATTCTTAATAACAAATATTTGTTTATAAAAGAATAAACAAATTAATTTGTTCTTCTCAGCTGTTTTCTTTTACCATCCAGTATTCTTTAATACTGAAATCCTTCATTAATATTAAATTCCTCATTCGCATCATTAATTTATTAATTAAACTACTAGAATATACACGCACGCATATTTCTATTTAAGAACTACGCTAATAAGACTTATTTCTCACGTGAGAAGTGCAATAATATCAAATTGCGATAATTATCATTCGTCATTCAACCATCGATTTCTCCTATACATACGAATATAAAATCATTTTTCAGTTTGCTATATGCAGATCTTAATGTAAAGTGAATATTCTCATCTTGTATCATGCCATTAAAAGTATAGGATGACTTTCATTGTGAAAATATTCAAAATATATTTGCTTTACGTATGTCTAATACAATAATAGTTATATAATGAAGTATTAGACATGCGCATTACAAATTATCTTTTTTCGCATTTATTTGTCTTATTATCTATCGAATACATAACACGGTAATACCTAACAAATATATATGTGTATATATTAAATACAATAAGCAGGTATATATTTATATGATTTCTAAGAAATTAAATTAAGTAAAATATTATATATTTATCATTTAACAAATTTTATATATTAAAGTTCTTCACGTTTTATGGATTTAGAAACGAATTAGCAAATAATACACAACTGTTGCTTGTTTGTTCATAACTAATAAGTATTCTTGATCGATTATTTCATTTAGATACTTGTGATACATCACATTGCTATGATATACAATAATTTACAAAATTACCAATATTGCACGTATTATAATTGAATATTCGTCACTCAAAAGATTTAATGAAACAAATGAGTCGAATTTTTTAATATAATATTACTTTCCGATTTTACTAGTCAATGTATACTGTTTGTTAATAATTTTTGTAAATAACAAATAAGACATAAATGATTCTGTAATATTCAAGAATTCTTTTTACACCGTAGGCCAAAGTAACAGATATTCTTGAATTTCATTTGAAAGAAAGCATTTGTAAATATTTATAAACGTCTAAAACTAAATATTGACAAATGTACAAGTAGATTGCACAAGAACATTTGGTTCCTAAACTATAATTTTTATGATTGTTTCTTAAAAGTTTAAAAATTTCAAGTAAAAATTTTTTTTGAATAAGAAAATAAATTTCTGTTTATTATCGAAACAGTTCTAGAACAGGCATTAATTACTAAATAAACAATTTTAGAAAACAATATAAGAGAAAAAAGATATAAAATAAATGTTCTTCCTGTATTTCATTTCTTCAGCTATCAAGTTTTTCAAAGTTTATTTAATTTAGAAAAAAATATTATTAATATAAAATACCTCATATTTAATGTTATTAACGTTATTAATTTATTCAGGCATTTAATACCTTGAGTTATATCAAAATTTAAGAAACATTTTATATTTATTTTGTAAATGTTTTTACATTCTTAAAATTAAAGTAAAAATATAACGATATAATTCTTTGGACTTATTCAACTTCTTTTATTTTTCTATTTCTTCGTTTTACTTCTTGAAAGTAAAAGATTTATTAATATGATATTAATTAAATTAATATTATTTAAAAAGTGATATTTCTTAAAACTGATACATATACACTTATATATTATATTTATAAGTAATTTATAAGTAAATGAAATATCAGAAATAATTATACGTATGACTTTTCAATTACCGATAACAATGAAAATACTAATTGAAAATGAAAAAATTAATTTATCAAGTTTCTACAAATTCAATTTTTAAAAATTTATAAATTTATAAAATGAACAATTATCTCAATAACAATAATATCTTTAATTAGTTACATTTTATTTATGTGAATATATTATCTCAATTTCTTGCGGAAAAAAATGAAATTTCTTGTTTTAATCATTGAAATATAGAATGTAAATTCATAAAATAAATTTAAGAAGATAATAAAATCGGTATTAATATGTAAATGGCTATTAATTTCTAGAATTGTTTCTTATAACAAAATCCATCTAGCTATATCTGATTAAATGTAAAACAATTGAAGAACATCATATCAATATTATATCAAGAAATAATTTAAGTAATTTATCAAGTAACTTATATGTTCAATAATCATATTTAATTAATTTAATTTTATATAGCAATTTATTATTCATTAAGTTATTAAAAAAAAAGAAAAAGAAAATGTAAAGCATCAATACTACAATACTTCAAAAATATTCTCAATGGAATTAATAATATCACAGCCACATAAAATAGCAAATTGAAAAAATATTTAAACTGATCAAAAATGAAAGAAAAAAACAAAATTGGTGGAATTTTAATAATAATTTACGTTTTGAAATGCTATTAAGCGTCTATTAACACAAATAATTCAGAAAATATCGTTAATAATTTCCCTGAAAATCTAGAATTTATAAAAAAAAATTTATTTATAAAAAAAATAGAATTTATTACCAATAAAATGTCATAAATCTAAATAATCCCTTTTGATTTGATAAATTATAAATAAAATATTCTCTAAATTATAATAAAATATTCTTTTGCTAAAGTATATTGCCGAAATACTCGTTTTTTATATGATAATACAACAATTTATTTTACAATAAATTTATTTTCATCCGTCGAAAAATATGTATACTAAACATAAAACTACTGACATGTACAATAAAAAAGACTAACTCGTTATTAAAAGAGTATATGCACGTGATGTAACTATTTTTGAAGTTATAGCGACCATTGTTCGTAACGATCCTTTTGTCCCTGTTGCTATAAAATGAATGTAACTCATAAATCGTTTTTAGACAATAGAAATATGGATAGAATAAAAATATATAAAAAATATCTACCTTTAATTTCTAAAGTGATAACTATTATTTATGTTTATAACTATTATAAAATACAATTTCTACTCTTAAACATGTCTATAATACGTTTTTTTCTTTGCGAAAAAGGTATTTACAAGATATTTTTGTACGACGTTCTATATTTAATACATGACAAGAATTGAGCGAAATTTATTTATTTATCTCTCAATTTAATTTTCTTTTTCTTCCTTTTTCTTAAATAATTTATTTTTCATTTCTGCACACATATGTTTCAGCTCTAACATGTAAAATTTTTCGGAGACATTGCAACTATAGATCCTATTGTTTTTTAAAAATATTTATCAACGTAATTTACGATTTTAAATATAACTTTTAATGTGATTTAAAAAGTGAGAATGAATCTTGTAAAGAAATTGACCAAAAATAATTATAGAGTACAAAAGAACTCGAAAATATTTCGGTATATTATACATTTTATATATATATATATATCCAACGATCTATCCATATATATCCAACATATCTAATTATATAACTTTATTATGCAAAACAGTTCTAACAGTCATTAACAGGAATAATAGAACTAGAAATACAGATGCGCATTAATAAGTTATGCCAAACTTCTGTACATTAAATTTCACATAAATTCAATAAGCGTACATTTAACGTTTATTTATTTGTAATATAAAAATTTAATAAATAGTGATATATCATGTATGTATAAATATAAGATAGTTGGCCTCGATTTTAACTTAAGATATTCTCATTTTTCAAATGCGATGCAATTTTTTTGTTTAAATTATTAATATCTTGTAAAAGGCCTTAAAGTATTTCACGACTAAAAATAAGCAAATTTCTTGTACGGTAATAAATTCTCTGTATCTGCTTTCTTAATAAATTAAACCATTACTGAATAGCATTATCCTAACTTCGATAAAATATATACATTGAATATAATGAATCGTTGATCTAATAGATTTTATAATGCATATAAATATATACAAATAATTCAAATTAATATAATCTTTCTGGACATAATTTTTAATTGTATGTAGATTTTTGTTTAAAGATGAAAGTAGATTTTTGTTTAAAGAATAAACAAAAGAAAAAGGTCATTTAATGTCTCCCCCGACAAGAAATTGGCTTATTTCTTATCTTAATTCCTATCCTATAATTATCCTATAATTATATTCATATTGATACTAAAGATACTAGCAATAAATAATATTTGATTATTTCATTAAATATATATAATCAATATGGCAATGCACCAGAGAATCGAACATGCAACTGTATTAACGCGTGCACATTCGTTTCTTTAAATCCCTTTAAATAATACAAATAAAATACGTAGTATGTCATAAGAGGTGATATGTTTGAGAAATGAAAGTCTCTTCGTATAATAAACGTAAAATAAATGAAAAATGATAAATAAAAAACTTGCTTTAAAAATTAAGTATCAATTTAACACATTAAGTTTTACATCATTTTTATAATAATATCGATCATGATTGTTAAATTTTGTTCCAACAGATATTTATTTCTTGAAGGACAGATTTATCGATTTACATTTTTTTATGTGAAACATCTTTATAAGGATGTTGTTACGATACTATTCATTCTTCATTATGTTGCAATTTCATATTCTAAAGAAAAAACAATAATAGATATGTGTATGGTAGGTAATATATGTACTTTGTATTAAGAAGATATTCTAGTCTAGATATTTTAAAAAATTAATCTTTTCATTTGTTTGCAAAATATAAGACACACTTAATTGAACAGGATTGTGAATTTGTGTGAATCTTATAAGCGATTGAACAAAAATTTAGTCTAAAGTATTAATAAAAGATTTTGCAAATTCAATTATTATATTAGTTTTTTATTATTATTACTGACATCGAGGAGCAAATTAAATTAAAAAAATAAGATACTTTAAACATAGCATATTAAACTTCAATCGATTGACTGATTTCTTTGAATACATCGTTGGTAAATATTGTGATAGTAATTCAGATAAGCAAAATCAGTGAACTGATAGTACACTAAAAGACCGCATTAAATAATACACAGTAGAATCTCGGTTATTAAAACATTCGTTATCCGAATTTTTTATTATTAGTGCATATAAAACAGTATTATATTAGAACGAATATCCTTTTAATATTTCATATCTCGATAAACAACTATCCTTTTTTTAGGATTTCAAGAATTTAAGTAGAATGGATATCTAAATTTTGTTGGACTCCAGTCACTAATGATTTTCATATTATGAGTATTTGTCTCATAAGTAATAAATGCAGCAATAGTGCTATAACAATTATATGTAATATATATATATATATACAAAAATATATATATACAAAAATTATAAAGATATACATATAGTAAGTAACAATTATTATGCAATAGAAAATTATACGAAAACTATACTTCAAAATATATAACCATTGATATAGTCATTTGTTCGTGTATATAAATACACGATAAAGCTATTATTATTTCCCGCTAAAATGAGATTCACGTCAAGTCGAGACTATTTTATTTTTCAAACATATCATACTTACTGAACACATCAATGATCTGTATAACTATAATATGTAATAAATGGTAACGAATGTATGAGTGTATAACTTGTCATACTATGATCGAGTATTTCATTCATAAAGAAAAAATTCGTCTACATTTTTCAATCGATACGATTATGTATATATCTATGTATGTATGTATATACAAATATGTAAATTAATTTCTTACATTGATGGCGTAAGAGTTTGAATACTGCATGTATTAAAAATCTTGTTTGTGTGAACTAATTCGAATACACAAATAAAAGGGCTATTATAAAATTGTTAAAAAATACGTTAAGAAAATGATGATCAAATATTTCAAGTATTCTGATAAGCTTTGAAAACTTAATTAAGTATACTTTTTTTTAATTGCAATATACTTCAGTAAATTCATATATAATTATACGAATTACTTTTTATAATTCTATTTAACAATATAAAAACTCTAACAGTAAAAATTTAACAATGTATAACATAAACTTCTTTAAAAATAATTCTTTTACCATTTACAATAAAAAAAACAGTCATAAACCGCGTGTAGAATAAATTATTAAGAAACATTATTATTTAAAATATACGTATAAGAACGTAAATTAATTAGAAACTCACGAAATTTTTTCAAAAGTTATTTGAATACTTAGAAGTACTCCAAATGAGAAAATTTTTATTGTAAAATTCAGAATTTTTCTTACTCCCACAAATACGCGATTTGACACAAAGTTATCTAACATCATACATGTAGTATTTACTAAATACTAATTCATTTTATGAAATTGAAAGATTTTTCTCACACATGTTACGTCAAATATTTCTATTACTTGCTACTCTCTGTTTCAAAAATGCGAGATTATAATATCATTGAATATAACCATATTAAATAATTATCAAAACTGATACGACTAGCAAATGACTGATGTAATTCTCTTAATATAAACATTCGATATTACAATAAAAATATCATCTAATTCTAATACAAGAAATGTTATTTTCAATTTTTTCTAATTTTTCTCTAATAATTGTCGTATTTTGATAATACGATTTTCATACCAATCTGCACATTATGCTTCTATTGCTGTTAACGATAATTATGAATGATAAAAGTAATAATGATGACAATCAGGATGATAATGAGAAATGGTACATCAACAATAATAAAAATGAGAATGATGATGATTGTGTGTAATAATAATAAAAACAATAATATCAATAATATTACTGATAATAATAATAATAATGATGGTGATGATGATGATGATAGTAGTAAAAAGAATAATAATATACTGTAGTATTAATATAATAATAATATTAACGATAATAATAAAAATAAAGATAATAATAATAATAATAATCGCTTTCAAGTGCGATGAAATACTTGACGATTGCTTTTAATATAGAAACCAAAACAAAAAGATACATATATACCAGGAGTAGGCACGCATGAGGTCAATAAGAGTCGCATTCCGGTTTTTCATATATTATAAAAAGCCATAGTTACATAGTATTAAATAAAAATTCAAATGTAATTTAATTAATATGGTTACATATTCTATTATTATTAGTAGAAATATTATTAATATTAATTACTTAGTTAATTTAACAAGATTCGGTGAAAAGAATTCTGAAATAATAAAAAAAAATAGATTTAAATTTTCAATGGGAGCTGCACTTAACTCAACAAAGAACCGCATGCGACTCCGTATTTGCCCACTTCTGATATATACACTCATGTAAATACATATTTTTTGGTAGTGGAGAATATTCCTTTTATATTCCTATCCTTTTAAAGCAAAGCTTTTCTAAGCAAAATAACATATATATATAAATATGCATATCGGATTATGTTGTCATTAGCTACCTCCAGTTATATTTTTCATTTATTAGAATTTTTAAAAACGCTTCTACATATTGCACATATTCATCTACAAAATTTCACAAATTTTATAGATCAAATGTTTAAGACTAATAAAAAAATTATATGCAATTGTTTTAATTGTTCATTATTGTTCAATAATAAATAGTAAAATGGTAAAATAAATAGTAAAATTATTCATTCATTAATCTTTAGAGGACAAACTAATTTTCCTATCAATTTTTATATTATTATTTAATTTTTATATACATATGAAAATAATGACTTTCGTATATTTATAATATTGTATAAATAAACTTTTTGTCGGCATTGTAACAAAAATGGAGAAGTTACTTAGAATTTCAAAGGATCTCCCACTTTGGTTTTGGATAAGAAAAATTGTCATTTTATAAAAAAAAAAGTATTTTTTGATAACATAGAACAAATTTTAAACGTAAAAACGTAATAAATATGTACGAAGGAATGTGCATGTGAAAAAGATCCTTTTCATTATATATACAATAATGTAGTCGTGTGTGACATATTTCAAAACAAAATACAATATACTGAGGCATATTACATTCACACATAAACATTGACCTGCGACAAATACGTTTTTTTCGAACAAGTTACGCATTGTCTTTGTTCTAAAGGACTCTCTTCTAATATTTTTGAAGGAACAATAAAACGTGTTTTTCCCCATTTTTCTACCGAACCATAAAAATTGATGGAAACAGTGTAAAGTCTACAAATAGACCTCAGAGTCTACAAATAGACCTCTAAAGGTTAATGTCATATAAAATAAAATAAAATAGAATAGAATAGAGTAGAGTAGAATAGAGTAGAATAGAATAGAATAGAATAGAATAGAATAGAATAGAATAGAATAGAATAAAATAAAATAATATAAAATAAAATAAAATAAAATAGAATAAAATAAAATAATATAAAATAAAATAAAATAAAATAAAATAAAATAGAATAAAATAAAATTTAGCAACAATCTTTTCGTTCTTGTAAATAAATACACGAATATATTTAGCATGCCATTTAAGTATACTAAAGAAAATTCTCCACGAAAAAATACTAGCCTAAAAAATTGCTCAAAAATACAAATATATTAATCATTTCTCGTTTGTCTCTATTATTAATTTCTGTCTTTCTCCTTTTCTGTCACGCACATTTTACTTAACTTGTGCTAGAAGATCGAGAAGAAACCAATAATAGCGGTAATAATAATAATGATAGTAAAAGAAAATATTCATAAAAGAACGTTGTTCCAACTAAGATCAGCGTGCAAACAACCCACCAGAATTATCAGCAGTGGTGTAATCGAGGAGAGGTGAGGCTGCCAAGGCTGCATAGTTGGCGTAATCGGCATATGGAGTGTAAATTAACCCATGAGGATCACCAGCAGAAAGTAAAGATCCTGGTGGACCTGAACCATTCAAAAGAGATGCCGCGGTGGTTGGGACGGATATCCGTGGCGAGAGTATTAACGGTGCTCCCAACGGAGCGCTAGGCGTCCTCATAGGTGTGGCCAAGCCTGGTAGAAGCCGCTGTGTTTCTGCCGCTGCTGCTGCAACGCGTCTCCATTCTTCGTCGCAAGCTGAAACGTTCGATGTAATATTAGTCAACATTATTACGATTTTTATCATTATTACGAAAAACGTTTACACTGTTTGTTGTATATTTTTTTCAATCTTATTAAAATATTAGATTGAATAACAAATTCTTAAAAAAACATATATATATAATCTATCCAATCAAGTAATAATTTATTTATTCTACTATTTCATAAATAAACAGATTTTCCCAACTTGCCCGCTGTTATTTTTGAAAATATGAAAAAATTTTATTAACAAAAGTTATTCAGTACAGAGAAGCTCATAATATGGTAATATGTAGATAGTAATGATTTTTTTTTAAAGGATTTCGAGCCCATCTCACAATTTATGAAAGACGAGAAAAGATAGAGGTATTCTTTATTTACGACACAATTGCTAAAAAGATTTTACAAAAAGATTATTTTACTTATAAAACATTTTAATATATTAATTATTTTGTTTAAAACATATTAGATAGTAATACCATATTAGATGGTATTATTTTAAGATAAAAATAATTTAATTTCCTGTAAATATGTACCTGTAGCTGCAGCAACTTTCGTGTTAGAATCCCGATAGGTGCCATTGATAATAGCAAGTTCCATTAGTTGCCGCTTCTTTAACTCATCTTCTCCATCAGCCTGCTAACAGTCAACATAATTAATAAGAAATATATTAGTACTTTTTAAATTAATTACAATAATCCAAGAGGCTATATTAAGGCATTATTAATGAGAAGAGACAACATTAATATTAATTATATTATATTAATTAATACATGTATACTTTAAAAAATATTAATATACATATATATTAATATAATATTAAGAAGATTCTACAGTATTAATAAAGAACTACGTTACTAATAAGAAATCACCATTAAGATTAAATATTCCAATAAAATTGGAAATTATAGTTAATAATAGGAACTTTCTCACCACGGGAACAAGAAGTTTCTTGACTTCTTCTACAGCTCTGGCAAGTTTCAAAGTGGCACGATTTTCAGTATCTTCAACTGTCAATAAAACATGCAGTTCATCTGTCAGATGCTCCCAGTTTGGTTTACCTCGGTTTAACTCTTCCTAATAAAGCAATTAATATCATACATAGTATAATTACAAAACTCGATAAAAAAAATGTAATAACTTTTATCTACAATTATACCATATACCATTGACATTGCAAAATAATATTGTAAAATATATTATATCTAATAAATATATACATATATTATATTATATGTTGCATACATCATGAGAGATACAAATAACAAATTCTGTCAATACTAATATTCATGTATCCGTTATTTTATATATTATATACAAAATATTTCTATATATTAAATTAATTTAAAACAAAACATTCCAACTAATCAACATTTTTATGCATTGGTTTAAATACAAATCTAACAAAGTGCTAAACTTCAATCAAATTGGATGTTTCTTAAAAAAAGGATTAGATCTTCCTCAAATATATGCTTATTATCAATGTATTTACGATAGTTTAAAATATCGTCAAACGAACAATATAAAACAATTAAAAATATTCCATATCGTTATTTTATAAGTGTACTTACGATAAAATTTTCTCTCAGTAATCATAAGCAGCTTGGAAATAAATATTTATCTTAAAATTGTAATATTAATTATATACTTCCAATGTAATGTTTAACTTTATAATAATATTGTAAAGAAGTTATAAATATATATAAATTAGATAAATTATTTCTACTAGCTATCAATAAAAAAATTTTCAATTACAGAATGAATACTTAATTATTTAACAACATTTAAAAATATTATAAATATAATGACACAAATTTTAATTATAAATATTTGTTTAGTTATAATTGAGCCACTTATCTGCCAAATCGATTCATAAAACAACTTCATAGAACAAAAAATAAAGAAAAATAAATAATATACATTCCTTTTTAAAATTCCTTTTTCTTTAAGATAAGATACATTATTAGATAATTTTTGCATTATTATTAATTTTATCTAATTTTATATAAAATAGATTTTATCTAATTTTATATAAAATTGATTTTATCTAATAATATATTTTTGGAATAATTGCCTTCTGAAATAGATTATTTATTATTTCAAAAGAAATTTATTTTAAATATAAAAGTTAAGCATCAATCAAATGTTTCGCTAGTAAAATTTTAAAAAATTCGAAAGATGAAGTTAATCTGTGACTTAATTACATAAATCTTAGAAATCTTGTATGAAATTGTAATATTGAATTGGAAAATTTACTTATAAAAATATATCTATATAAAAACAATAAAAAATTTTACCTTCTTTTTGTCCCTCATAGAACCTTTTCCCCTAACCATAATTTTACAGCCTGTTTCTTGTTCTAATTGTTTGGCTGTCATACCACGTGGTCCGAGAATTCTTCCAACAAAATTAAACTGTAATAAACAAAATCATTAAATCATTAATGAAATTATTATCATATTAGTATATTTAAATCTTCACATCTTATTCAATTAAAATTGTGCGAAATATAATTTTTTCTCATATTTTTAATAAAATTTACTTATTTATACACATAAGTAAAAATATATATTTTTCTTATTTTATTTTCTTGTACACTATCAATCTATAAAAAAATATTAATAAATTTTAGATATTCTTTGTCATTTATTTTGTTTTATGTACATGTAAGAAATAAAATAATTACAATCAACATCTTTGAGAAATACATGACTGGAAATAAGTATTTTATATTTATAAATACTTTAAATTAATTAATTAAAACCGTATAAAAAATTGTTTTATATGTACACACTAACTAAATTAAACTAAATTAAATTTTATTAAAATGATCACAGAGATCAATAAATTTGATTTATAATTTATATGTTCGGTCTATATATAAATAATATTAAAAATTAAAAATTCCGTGATTAAACAGTAATTGTCAAAGGTTTAATAAATATTTTATTCACATGTTTAATCGTTATTAAAAAACATTTGTTTACTTATTCACGTGTTTAATCGTTATTGCTAACATTTGTTTGCTACATTTAATTTTATCTCGTGAGAGAGATTTCAATCATTAATGTGTTTATATTTCAATTATTAAACATTCAGAATTATATTTTAGATATGTTAACAAATAATTCTATTAAAAAGGAAGAGACTAAACAAATCAACAATTTTGGAACACAAAAAAGATAAAACGATAGCACATTTGTTAAAAAACAATTAAGAATTAAACATTTTATAACAAATCTGCTTCATTTAGTAATAATTTAATCATTTTTATCTTAGTAAAAATTTATATAGTTTATATAGTTATTGAATAAATTTATCTCTGAATTGTCTCCATTCGCCCTAAATAATCACTGTTTTATCTCTCTAAAATTTTGATATTTTTTTTTATATCTTCAGTTGAGAATTCTTTAATAATCTTTTAAATATTAACCTTTTAGCCAGAAAATATTTTTCTGTCCATGTTGAAATAACTACATTTGGAATGGATTCATGCAAATAAAATTTAAAATATAGAAAAACTAAATAAATTTAAAACTTGAATAGAAATTTGTCTACTAAATATTATGATAAATGTTCTACGTTTGATATTTTATACAATTTTGTGTGTTAAATTTCCCTAAAAAACATAAAAACATCTGCAATCTGATCGTGGAGAACTATGTTGTCACGCTCAGTAGACTTGTTTTCTGGAGGTGACTAAAAATTTCGTCTCAACCGGTTAAGAGATTCAGAGAAATCTTGTTGCGGAATTTAAAATTCAACTCTCTTTTCCTTGGTTGGTAAAGTATCTTGTTACTTTTATATTAGGTTTTTGTATACCAAATGGATAATGTTTACATAATTAATTAAACCAAGTTATACAGAAACGCTCAAAATAACCAAAAGTTAATTAATAATTCAATAATTTTGTAATCTTTATTTTGCAAAAACTTATCAGTTCTTACATTATACAATTCTTGAAACTACCAAAACATAAATCTACTTTAGACTTGTTCATTTATTACTCTTTCTTATTTACTTTTTATGCCTATTATTAAACAAGTCATTAAAATGTATATAAAATATTAAATAAATGAACAAAAAAATAAAATATACCCAATAAAGATAAAGATCTTTTCTTTCTTTAAATTAAAATCTTCAAACTAAATTTAGAACAAAGTTTGATAGCTTTCTGTATAACCCAATTGTATAATAGTTTCATCATTTCAATTGTTGTTGTTCAGTTTCTTCAAGATATTACAAATTCAATAAAAGTAATTCCCATATTATTCAATGACTATATTGTTAAAATATTCTAAATTTGTAAGAACTATAACAGTTATTAAAATTTTTTCATTTATAAAATTCTGTAACATAATTTAAAAATTAAACAATGTTTAATATTTACATGGAACTTTCGCCATTGTAACATGGTAATATTAAGTGAGACACCCTGTATATGTAAGCAATGCGGGAGGCATAGTTTCGATTACCAAATAACTTTGAGTCTAAACACAAGACTAAACATGAAAACCTCGATGCAAACCTTTTCCTATAAGAGATCAGTTTATCCTATATTCTACTACAGACTTCGCAGTCCATCAATAAAACACTAGAAATAATTAACTAAATGATATAATTATATTTTATTGAAAGATTTTATATACCTAATATACTTTTCGTATACATAACTGCATGAATTTACTTAACAATTAAATTATTGATGTAATTTTATAACTTGTAATCTAAGATAATGCAGTAAAAAAAAACACTTACATCTGGATGTTCCTTAACAGGTACATAAACTTTTTCTGTAAGCGTTGTAATATCACCCTCTGGCTCTGGTAGAACTAGCGGCTCTTTTTTCACGCCACTAATCTGGAAAAGACTCGCCCGTACTTTTGCAATTTCTGCAACAAAAAAATTAAGAATGCATATATTTTTAATGTCAATTTCAATTAAAATATTTAAAAAGAAAAAGAAGGAATACAGAATCATAAATAAAATTATTCAGTTATCTGTAATTATACAACATATCACCTTCGGCATGATAAAAAATCTTAGTATATAACAACATTTGAACATTTGATATTACTAAAAATCCAACATCGCATTTCTCTTTAAATACATACAAAATATATATAATTTCAAAATTATATGAAATGGTCAAGTTACCTGTTCGAACAATGACACTGATATATGTAGGTTATAAAGTACTTTAACTAGTAAAATTTAGTATTAATTATTATTACCATATGTTATATCTAGAACGTCTAATAAAAAAATTGAAGAAATTTTGTGTAATTAACATTATTAAATTAAAATAATTAATTAAAATTAATTAGATTTCATACTATCTATTTATAAATAAAATATACATTTTATACAAAGCAAATAATAACCATTGAATAAGACATTCCATAATGTAGAAGGCCTGCATGCTCCACCATTTTTTTTACAATACACGAAATTTTTACTATACAAACTTATTTCCAGTTAAAGTATCACTGACTATACAGCTGTGAATGTGTATTTACCATAGGACGCATGCGCACGCAGATGTAAGAATGTGAATAAAAAGAGAGGATAGACGAACACAAGCAAAAAGAACACAGCATCATATCCACTTTTAGCAACATTGCTCATTACAGCTGACATCAACTGTATTATATCCCCGTGGCTTTCTTACCTTCCTGTTTTCCATTACATTTTGTTCTACTTTCAGTAATTGTTATGTTACATATTTAAAACAATTTTTTTAATTAAACTTTATATTCCGTCGATCTTACAAGAGCTGAAAAGAGGTTAGGCACGAGCAGAAATAGAGATGTTCATATTTTATGTAGAATCTAGATGTTTGAAATTTAGATAATTTAGACAATTGACTTTAGAAAGTGATCTCGGAAAAATGGAAAACTGTAAAATAAGAATTATCTTGAGACCACTAAAAAATGAGCTTTAAAGTCCATAAATGAGTAATAGACAAGGAAGGAAATCACGGTTAAGGGATCATTTATACGGTGTTTGAATGATTACTATTATAAACTGATTGTTTAAGTTCGAAAAAGACTAGATATCTAAAACTAATATTTAATATAAAGTAGTTAATACAATAAGGTACGTTGGTATACAACACTATAAGATTGTTAATAATTGAATGTAATATAATTAATTAATTAATATGTACGCAGTATATCCAATTGAAGGAGCAATATTTAAATATAAAATGGAGTTCAAAATCTGTTTAAATATAATATAAGAATATGTTTAAATTTCAATATCCTAAATCTTTTTATCCAAAATCAGAAAAGAATGCAAAAAATATTTTATCTTATAGTATTTTTGGATGATATTTCTGAATGTTTCACGTATAGTGCATCATGAGTCGTACAGTAAATTAATTTTATTCATGGAAAAATAACATTTTGTGACTCACAGAAATTCACAGAATAAAAAATATAAGATAGACGTAGTTGAAATTCTTATAAAAGAATATATATTATACCAAATAAGAATGTTGAACTAGAAGTAATATCTTTTTTTATAAAATTTCATCCACTATTTGTTATATTACAAAATTGTACTCATATTTTGTAAATATAAATTACAATTATTTTCAAACGATCAATTCGTGTGAAACTTTCGATAGAAACAAAACTAAAACCCATGTAGAAATCAAATTAGAAATAATACCTCTTCGAATCAACTTCACGCAGGAAAAAAAGGCAAAATAAAATTCCAAAAGCGAAGTAAAAATGCTTATTACGTGTGAGAATAAAAATCTACGTAGCGTAGGTTGTGATGTTGAATCGATGTTAGTATTAGTTACGTGCAGCGTCCATGACATCATCGATGGCGTAATCAAAAAGACTACGATCCATGACACAGACCAAACGCTTGAAGAAGACAATTGCGTTTCAAGAAGACAAATCTCCTCGTTAATTTGCAATAGTTATAATTACAGTAGCACGAGTTTCAATAATATTTCAACGGTCGTTTGAAAATATTTCACTAAATTCATTCTTCATTAAATGTTACATCCTTTTATTAAAAATATGTACTTTCATTAAATATTCCATATCTAAAATTTCATATTATTTAAATTTGCAGGTCTGAACGAAGATATTTAGTTTCATAACTTTACTGTTTCTTTAATAGATAGTACTACAATCTATTGATGATTGTACTCATATTGACGCGGAGCTGCTCCAAACCTAATCTAATATCTAATTAACTATAATATATAATATTATATATAATTATAATTAAATCTAAAAATAAAAAAATAAATATATTTCTTTATATGATAAATCAAAATAATTATTAAGTTTGAAGAAATCTTAAACGTATAACACATTATGCATAACACACAAAAAAAAATTTTTACATTAATTTTTAACACTTTACAAATAGTGTAATTTGAGTTTTCAATGTTTGGAAATTTATTATAAACATTATTAAAATCCAATTCGATTCATATTTTATTAAATTCAGAAAATTCGAATCTATCGAATTTATAAAATAAAATTGCATTACTAGAAAAGTTTCATACAAAAAAATATATTCAATGTATATATATATATATTCAACAATATTTGTTTTCAATAAATCACTAGTTATTAATATTAATTTAAAAATATTTTCATTGTAGTGATGTTAATACAATATTTATAAAAAACTTGATTTTTTTAGGATCATCATGTATGTATATTTTAAAATATATTATCAATTGCCTAATATAAAAATGTGTGATAACTTTCACGACATTAAGCTTAAATAAAAGAGATAAAGTAGATCTGAAAAGAGAAACATAAGTAGCATAAAGTGCAAGTTAATTCGCTATAACTAAATGACAAAAATCATAAAATTTTGTATTATTATTAAAATAATTAGGAACAAATATTATCTAATTAAAAGATCAATTTGATTTTAATTATATTGTTAATTAAAGAATGAAAACTGAAAATAATTATTGTGTAGATATCACATTAATTTTGTATTATTACTGTGTTGTCTCAAAAAATTAATTCTAGAATTGATACAATAGTGAATTTTAATTGCGTTATAAATACAGATTTAAATCAATGTCACATGTATTGAAGTTATATCGTGGTGGCCAAGTTTCTTAAGCAATTCACAACTTATTTTGACATAGTGAGTCACAAGGATATATTTATAAATCGGAGCCCAAGAAATTTTATACCAACACTAAACTGTGACTTCTAACATCAATCACATAATTATAGAAGTAAAACATTAAAAATAATATAATAACATTGCATGCATTATTTACATATTTAAATGAAATATAAGAGTAACATATAGATAATATATAATTAACCTCTTAATAAGGAAAAACGACTTAATTCATTACTTGAATCCCAAATCTCTTAAATTAATTACCTCATTTTATAAATTTCTTATTTGTTGCATTATCTACCATCTCACTGGAAAAATTAAGTAAGTAGGTATGTAATAGAAAAATTAATTTCTGTAAGTATTATTCTTAATTGGAATTAAATTATCTTCTCTTCTCTTGTAGAAGATTTGGGTTAAAAAATGGTTTAGTTAACGTGACATTATTTAACACTCAGTTCATGCTCACCAGAAAACCTTTGAATATTTTTGTTCGAATACATAGAATGAACTTTTAAATAAATTTTTTGATCTTTGAACTTCTTATTTTTCAAAAGTATTGTAAGTATTTTTCGAGATTATACTACACAAAATACGAATGAAATTTTCAAGAACATGATTACTAACAATGGGAAGTATACTACGAAAGAAATATTTTTGGTAATAAAAACATTCCAAATATAAAGCAGCAAGGAATTGCAGCAAATTGATAAATAAAAAAATATTGGTATACTTTAAAATTAAAATATTAGATACGTATATTGTTTGGAACTCCTGTAGCGTTTTTAACAGGCCATATATTTTATTATATTTATTATTAATTATCTATATTTTAATATATTCAATATTAAATTGAGAAAGAAAACTACTGTTTAAGTAGTACTACTTTCAATTGGACATTAAAAAATATTCTTTCTCAATAAGAATTAGACTTTCGATTTTAATAAAAAACAGTTGGATCTTGACTCAGATTAATTTCACTAGTAACATTTACATAACATCAATCATTTATTCTAGTAGATATTTAAATTTCTTTTTAATAATAGCACACTTATCTATTCAAATAAAACAAGTACTCAGTGTCAGTATCACAGTAGAGATAGTATTTCAGGATCTATAAACTTATTAATCTAATAATAAAATATTTAAGATTTATCTTACTATACTTTTTTTAGTTTATATAAAAAAGCTCTTTATTAAATATTATAAAAAATAATTATAAAAAATATGTATATATATATAAAATTATATAATTTTATTATATTTTATTACAGTTCATTCATAAACTATTATAAAACATAATTTCTTGAATATTTACTTCATTAACTAAGTTGTTAATTAAATATTTTATAAAATATAACGTATTTTAGATTTCAATTTCAGATATCTTATCTCCAACAGTTAACCTCCTTCAAACTATTATGCATAATTATCATGTACTTTGCAAAAAGTTTATCTATTAATGATTTAAAAATGTTATTCATATAGATTTAGAAAAAAACCTAAATCAATATGAAATTCACATAGATTTAGAAAAATGTTTTCTTTTATTCTCTTTCTCACCCTATCTTTGTATAAATATCACAATGTCATAATTTTTGTTTCTTACTATAAATTTTACAATTTTTGTTACGTCTAAAATTAATAAATTTAAAATATTTATGATATCTTTATATTATTATGTATTAAGATATTAATAATATTTTTATTAATTAATACATATTCAAAATGGACCCAATTTTTCATAATTAAAAACATATTTATAATACAATAT